GACTATTTCATGAGTGATGTGTATATGCGTATACAATTATACAATGTCTGGCAGTTTCCCTTTTGGAGAGACATTGATAAGAGTTACCTATAGCTGTTATTTCAACAGAGATTGCAGAGTTGTAGCATCTTGTAATTATTTCTTTATTAGTAATAACATGCTATCATCCATTTTTTGAAGTCACCAATGCTTAACTTTTATTAGAAATTTAAAACTAACTTAAGCAATAATTCAATAATTTAGGGTGATTACCTTGTGGATACAGGCCCCTCTCTTTTTCTAGACCTCTAAAATCTATCTCTAGGTGATACAAGACTGGATACAGGAGTCCTGGGTGCACATATAGTCATATGGTTTTCCGACCCCACATAGTCATTTTTTTAAATAAATAATTTACTGAGAATTTCATACATGCATATAAGGTGTTTTGATCAAATCCATGCCCACCCCTCCCCTCCAAATCCTCCCATATCTCCCCATCACTATTTTCTGATAACTTCATGTACTCTTTCTTCTTCTTTGATTTATTGTTTTTTATTTTTTAATGGGACTTTTTGCTACTCTAACATTCCCCCCTCTGAAGAGGTAACCCTAAAATCTTTCAAGGATTAATAAAAGCTCCCAAATATTTTTGATATTTTTGGCCTTTAGAATGGAGTATGTTGCTAAAGAGACCCAAGGACATTGTGAGTTTTAGCCAACAAACTGGCTACTTTTCTTTGGGGTCTTTTTACCCTAACTGCCTAGCCAATTCCTACCTCCTATTCTTATCACACCATCTTCTGAAGAGGTTACCCAAATTGCCAATAGGGAATTGGGACTCAGACTGCTCTGGCTTCTTCCATGCTGAACAGGGACCCAGGGTGAAACAACTGGAGTACCCCTTCAGTGGGTCTATCTAAAAGACTCCCAGCTTGCATAACTCTTATCTGTAGGGGGTAAAGAAAGTCCTTGACTGGTGAATAGGAGATGTGAAGGAGAAGTAAAGGCAAGAGTAATTAGCATTATAAGTTCTAGACAGGGAACTAGAAAAAAGTCAGAACAGGGCAATTTTCAAATGTTCATATGAGAATCCATTGGAATTTCTTGACAAGGGCTTATTCTAAAAGCATCCCTCTATTGGGTTCCTCCTCATTTTTCTTCTGTCTTCCAAGGCTGGACTGGAGAGTGATGGATTCAGGATTTGCTTTCAGGTATTTTGATAGCTGTTGGGGTGGTTAGAATCAGTGTCAGTTCCCTATCCATTTCTTATTAACTGGAGCACTGCTATGGAGAAAAAGAAGGAGCTTTAAATGAAAAGAGAGACCATTAATCTCTGTCACGTATTTGTGCCCGCATGTGCGTGTGTGTGACATTAAAAATTTGATCTTGCTTTAGTTGTTTCTACACCCTTATTTCTCCTTCCTTTTCCAATTAGAGTAATGCAGTCTGATTTGTTCTTTTTCAAAAATCACTCAGGCTTCTGGAAAGAGAACACACTGAAGGTGGGCAAGAGTGGAAACTAGAGGTCAGAGTAGATGGCTTGCAATAATTCAGCTAAGAGCTAATGCTTGAGAACGGGTGAAAAGAACGGGTGAAAAGAAAGGCAGAAATGGAAAGTAATTGACTCTGTGTTTTATAAATGGAGATGATAAGATTTACTGAGAATCTGAATGTGGGAATTTGAAAGAAAGCGAAGACTAAAAAGTGACATCAAATTTTGGGTCCAAGCATCTGGAAAGATTGTTGTGTTTGACTGACATGAAGAATCTTCACAGGGGACAATTGTGAGCACAGAAGAAATCAAGAATGAACAACCTAGAGGACTAATTGAATGACAGTGTCCAGGCTACTGAATGGATAGCCAGCAGGGGGGAAATCCCGAGAGTGTTTGGAGGGCCATGTGCATTGATCTCACTTTTTATTAATGACTGGGGCCATTTTTTCATTGACACAATGCTAGGTATAAGCTGAAGTGTTGGGTGAAAGAAAATCCAAAAGGGAGTTTGACAATTGTAGTATAGAACAAACTATGAGTGATAAAGTCACTTAAAAAAGTCATAAATGTGAGCTGTCCAGGCAATTTTCCTATAAGGACTAGCATTGCTATTAAAATATAGTGTTCAAATAGATCCAGTTCAAACTCTCAGTCACCCCTTCCTAGTTATGTGCCTTTGATTTATGCTAATAATTTCTCTTATTTGTAAAATGGCATGGGAATGTTTTGTTCAAAGTGTTGTGAAAATTAAGTGAAATAATAAAGCATTCAGCGCATTTCATAAGAAACCTCTTTCTATGCTGTATCTATAATCATATATCTTTAAAAATTTTTTTACATTGTGTATGTGTGTGTGTGTGTATGTGTGTGTGTGTGCATGGATGCACTATAACATGTCATGTGAAGGTCAGAGGACAACTTTGGGGAGTTGGTTCTTTGATTTTACCATGGGTCCCGGGGATCAAACTCAGGTCATAAGTCTTGGCAACAAGCATCTTTACCAGCTGAGCCATTCTCTCTCTCTCTCTCTCTCTCTCTCTCTCTCTCTCTCCTCTCTCTCATAATCTATCTTCTATATAGCTATCATCTATCATTTATCTATCATCTATCTATCCATCTATCATCTATCATCTATCTATCTGTCCATCTATCCATCTACCTATCATCTATCCATTCATCCATCCCTCCATCCATCCATCCATACATACATCCATGTATCTGTCTATTTATCTTCTGTCTATCATCTATCAGCTATCTAGCTATCATCTATCTATCCATCTAACTATCATCTATCTACCTGTCCATCTATCCATTTATCTATCATCTATCTATATATCTTGAATTAAGTATTCACAGAAAGTAGAGCTTGTGGGAGTGCTAATGAGTTTCTTGAAATAGTGTTAAGACTTGAGAGTCTCTTGAACCTCAAACATTACTTCCCTAGGACGTCTTCTTGTCAACATCCCCCCACCCTGCTGCACCTGAAGCTGTTAGCCCCCTTCTTTCTATCATCCTTGCTTCTGCTTTCACCTCTTCATGCCTTAACTAAATAATTTTATGCTTTGTATCATATGTAAATCATTCTCTTACTCCATGTAATAAGAGAAAAATGACCAATAAAATGCCCTTTACCGAGCTGGGCATGGTGGCACATGCTTTTAATCCCAGCACTCACTCAGGAGGTAGAGACAGGCAGATCTCTGTGAGATCGAGACCAGCCTGGTCTACATAGTGAGTTCCAGACCAGCTATGGCTACAAGGAGACCCTGTCTCAAAAAGACCAAAACAAACAAACAAACAAACAAAAAAATGCCCTTTACCCATGTAAACACTACACTCATTAAAGCTGTTAGTGTCACTTGTGAGAATCTGTGAGTCTTCAAAACAATCACTTTTTTCCATTTTAAACACAAGAATATGCTCTATAAATTCTATAAAAATATTAAACACATTAGCAGAACTATTTTTCAGTAATTATATGATAATAGATTTAATTTAAAGAGTTTTTCTAGTATGTCCAATCATTTGTCATACAAGGCAATGTGAAACAAGTTTTACATATTTAATTAACAGCTAACCTTGTCATCAGCATGAAATAAGTCATTCCAAATACTAAAGCTACAAAATATACTGAAAGAATAAAATGTGCTTAAATAAATGCATGCCTAATGGTTGTTTTCTGATCTTTTTGAGACAGGGTCTCCCTGTAGCCCCAGCTGGCCTGAAACTTACCATGTAGAACAGGCTGGCCTTAAACTCACAGAGATCCTCCTGCCTCTGCCTCCTGAGTGCTGGAATTAAAGGCGTGCAATACCATACCTGGCAGGTTATTTCTAACTTGTATCTGTTACAAACATATTGCTTGCTGAAGTGCATTCTTACATTAGCATATGGTAGAAGATTTAAATTTTAACTCAGTTTTTATGTGCATATAAAGATATCCATTAATAATTGGCATGTTAAGGGCTGGAGAGATGGTTCAGTGGCTTAGAGTGCTTGCTGTGCAATCATGAAGGCTGGAATTCGAATCCCAGCATCAACATAAGAACCTGGGTGTAAATGCCTGCAACTCCAGCTCCAAGGGATCTGATGCCCACCTCTGGCCTCTGTGTACATATTTGCGTGTGTGCACATGCATGCACACACACACACACATATGCACATACTCATACACAGAGAATTTTAAAAACTGGTATGTTAACTGACCAGCTAAAGAATGGTAAATACCTCTGACTTTGTAAAGTTATAAAAAAAGCAACAGAGAAAACAGACTTCATATTTACAAAACACAGTAATTCCTTATGGCAGGCACATTTTCGCATTGCATTCAGATTTCCTCTCTACCTAGTTACCAATTTAAAAAAATGCATCAGAAAACTCATCACATCTTTGCTATTTATGGTGTCAACTGAGCAGCTTCTGTATGAGAAAGTCTGTCTTGCTTTCTTCCTACCAGGTGATGGTTGTATAGCTTCTTTCAAGGGATCAAAATAAGACCCATATGTTCTTTTCCAGAACTTCTATTTTATTTAAGTAAATTTCTCCCTTGAAGTAGAATATAGCAGTGACTAATAAGGATTCTGGTGAAAAACCTAGGCGCCATGAGGCCACCTGATAGGAATGCCTGACAAGAGGTCAAGCATTGAGAAACTAGCTTCTCAGAAAAACAGGACGTAGTGGTCAAGCCATCTGCATCTGGCAATCCACCCATGAGGCCACCTGATAGGAATGCCTGACAAGAGGTCAAGCATTGAGAAACTAGCTTATCAGAAAAACAGGACGTAGTGGTCAAGCCATCTGCATCTGGCAATCCCCGGGGCTCGATACCAGGAAATCAGATCTGTACCATAAGTCACCCACCCAGAATTTAGCAACTTAACTTCCTCATGCTTTATACTCGTTTGAATGGGCCAATAACCATGCTTCTGCTTCTGTACCCCGCTTCTGCTCTATAAAAGTGCCAAAACCCAGCATGGGGGCGCGCAAGTCCTCCGAGGAGACTTTGTGCCCACAGGTACCTGTGTACTAAATAAACCTCTTGCTGTTGCAACCCGAAGGCTGACTTGTCCTCAGTGGTTTCACTCTTACATTTGGAGGTTGCACCGAGATCTGTTGGACAAGGGGAACCACCAGGACAACTCCAGCCCCTTTGGGGAGGTGAGTTGGCCGGCCAACCTCAGTGTTGTGTCTTTATGTGCGTTGCCTGTCTCTCGTTTGTGTCTGTGTTTGTGTAAGTGTCTGTAAAATCTGAACTTGGAACTGAGATCTCGTCTGTATTTTGGGACAGTGCTAGAGCAAGACGACGGTCTTGGAGCTCTGCCTGTCGCCCTGGGGGACGCCCCAGGGACTGAGAGGTTCAGGAATCAAGGGACGTGAAGTCCCCTCTGTCTCCGTGGATCTCGTCTGGGAGGTTCAGGAATCAAGGGACGTGAAGTCCCCTCTGTCTCCGTGGATCTCGTCTGGGAGGTTCAGGAATCAAGGGACGTGAAGTCCCCTCTGTCTCCGTGGATCTCGTCTGGGAGGTTCAGGAATCAAGGGACGTGAAGTCCCCTCTGTCTCCGTGGATCTCGTCTGGGAGGTTCAGGAATCAAGGGACGTGAAGTCCCCTCTGTCTCCGTGGATCTCGTCTGGGAGGTTCAGGAATCAAGGGACGTGAAGTCCCCTCTGTCTCCGTGGATCTCGTCTGGGAGGTTCAGGAATCAAGGGACGTGAAGTCCCCTCTGTCTCCGTGGATCTCGTCTGGGAGGTTCAGGAATCAAGGGACGTGAAGTCCCCTCTGTCTCCGTGGATCTCGTCTGGGAGGTTCAGGAATCAAGGGACGTGAAGTCCCCTCTGTCTCCGTGGATCTCGTCTGGGAGGTTCAGGAATCAAGGGACGTGAAGTCCCCTCTGTCTCCGTGGATCTCGTCTGGGAGGTTCAGGAATCAAGGGACGTGAAGTCCCCTCTGTCTCCGTGGATCTCGTCTGGGAGGTTCAGGAATCAAGGGACGTGAAGTCCCCTCTGTCTCCGTGGATCTCGTCTGGGAGGTTCAGGAATCAAGGGACGTGAAGTCCCCTCTGTCTCCGTGGATCTCGTCTGGGAGGTTCAGGAATCAAGGGACGTGAAGTCCCCTCTGTCTCCGTGGATCTCGTCTGGGAGGTTCAGGAATCAAGGGACGTGAAGTCCCCTCTGTCTCCGTGGATCTCGTCTGGGAGGTTCAGGAATCAAGGGACGTGAAGTCCCCTCTGTCTCCGTGGATCTCGTCTGGGAGGTTCAGGAATCAAGGGACGTGAAGTCCCCTCTGTCTCCGTGGATCTCGTCTGGGAGGTTCAGGAATCAAGGGACGTGAAGTCCCCTCTGTCTCCGTGGATCTCGTCTGGGAGGTTCAGGAATCAAGGGACGTGAAGTCCCCTCTGTCTCCGTGGATCTCGTCTGGGAGGTTCAGGAATCAAGGGACGTGAAGTCCCCTCTGTCTCCGTGGATCTCGTCTGGGAGGTTCAGGAATCAAGGGACGTGAAGTCCCCTCTGTCTCCGTGGATCTCGTCTGGGAGGTTCAGGAATCAAGGGACGTGAAGTCCCCTCTGTCTCCGTGGATCTCGTCTGGGAGGTTCAGGAATCAAGGGACGTGAAGTCCCCTCTGTCTCCGTGGATCTCGTCTGGGAGGTTCAGGAATCAAGGGACGTGAAGTCCCCTCTGTCTCCGTGGATCTCGTCTGGGAGGTTCAGGAATCAAGGGACGTGAAGTCCCCTCTGTCTCCGTGGATCTCGTCTGGGAGGTTCAGGAATCAAGGGACGTGAAGTCCCCTCTGTCTCCGTGGATCTCGTCTGGGAGGTTCAGGAATCAAGGGACGTGAAGTCCCCTCTGTCTCCGTGGATCTCGTCTGGGAGGTTCAGGAATCAAGGGACGTGAAGTCCCCTCTGTCTCCGTGGATCTCGTCTGGGAGGTTCAGGAATCAAGGGACGTGAAGTCCCCTCTGTCTCCGTGGATCTCGTCTGGGAGGTTCAGGAATCAAGGGACGTGAAGTCCCCTCTGTCTCCGTGGATCTCGTCTGGGAGGTTCAGGAATCAAGGGACGTGAAGTCCCCTCTGTCTCCGTGGATCTCGTCTGGGAGGTTCAGGAATCAAGGGACGTGAAGTCCCCTCTGTCTCCGTGGATCTCGTCTGGGAGGTTCAGGAATCAAGGGACGTGAAGTCCCCTCTGTCTCCGTGGATCTCGTCTGGGAGGTTCAGGAATCAAGGGACGTGAAGTCCCCTCTGTCTCCGTGGATCTCGTCTGGGAGGTTCAGGAATCAAGGGACGTGAAGTCCCCTCTGTCTCCGTGGATCTCGTCTGGGAGGTTCAGGAATCAAGGGACGTGAAGTCCCCTCTGTCTCCGTGGATCTCGTCTGGGAGGTTCAGGAATCAAGGGACGTGAAGTCCCCTCTGTCTCCGTGGATCTCGTCTGGGAGGTTCAGGAATCAAGGGACGTGAAGTCCCCTCTGTAAAGGTTGAATGTATATACTGATAGCCGATATGCCTTCGCCACTGCGCACATCCACGGGGAGATTTATAAAAGAAGGGGGCTCCTTACTTCAGGAGGAAAAGAAATAAAAAACAAAGCTGAGATCATAGCGCTTCTAGAGGCTTTGTTCTTGCCAAAATAGCTCAGTATTATGCATTGCCCAGGCCACCAGAAAGGAAACCACCCCGAGGCAAGGGGGAATCGTCTAGCTGACCAGACGGCCAGAGAAATTGCCTCAAAGAGTCGGATATTAGCTTTAGAGGTGGTTACGGAGTGCAAGAGAAAAGAAGTTGTCAGAGACTACACTCCAGAGGACAGAAAGTTGCTCGAGAAAATAGGAGCATCTAACAACCCAGAGACAGGATATTGGGAATACCAAGGGAAGACAGTTCTACCTCAGCGGTCAGTAGAAGAACTACTGGACGAGCTTCACAAATGGACTCACCTGGGGGTAACGAAAATGAAAACATTAATTGAACGAGAAGAAACCATTCATTATCTCCCAAACAAAGATGCCATCTTACAAAAGATCATCAAGAACTGTAAGGCTTGTGCCCAGGTAAACTGGGGCAAGAGCAGAGCCCAGGAAGGAATAAGGCAAAGGGGCCACAGGCCCGGAGTCCATTGGGAGATTGATTTCACTGAAGTCAAACCAGGAATGTATGGATACAAG